ATCGCTACTATCATCATCGTTTCCGCCGTTGCCGACGTCATCATGATACCGCGCCCACCCGAGTCACCAACCCGCACTGAAGTGTCCGCGCGACAGCGCGGCCTGGGAGACGCGTTTGAGGTCCCCACCGGTCAGCGCCACCACGGCCGCGTCGGCTGTGCCAAACCAGTTGGGCGTTCTGGTTGGGCGCTCTGCGCGCGAGCTTGCGCACGCTTGCGCGGCCGCAGAGATGCGCCCGCCAGTGCCAAGCAGTCATCGCAATCGCCGCCGCAGGGGTTTTGCAAACCAAGTTGCGCATGGGAGGGCGCGATGATTGCGCCAGCAGTGGAGCTGACAACTCTAAGTGATTCCAAACGAACTCTCCTTTCTTAATAAAAAAATTGACTCTACCCCCCCCCGGACTTATCGGCCCTCCCTGGGATAATATGATTATATATATATATATACTCTGCACACTCGTCCTTCCTAAATATGAATTCATATCATCCCAGCCAGGCCTGGTTCCCCCCCCTGAGGTTCCCTTGTAAAAACACTATGCGGTTACATGTTTTGTTCTAACATAACACTTTTTCACGAATGCCTTGGACAAAAAGAGACGAAGTGCACACGCGCGCGTCGTCGCGCGCGCATGCCGAAGTCCTTCAAAAACCTTCGGTGCGGGAAGGATTTCGCAATCGAGTTCCCAAAAAACATACAAAAACACATGGTTTCGCAACACAGAGTTGCTAAAAAAGCTTCCGCAACACAGGTGTTTCAAGATTTTCACAAAATGCTACCCGGCCTTCGCGCGCGCTCATGTCGAAATCTGTCGAACGCCCTTGCGCGTGTGCCGTCGCGAGAATCCCTTGCAAAAAACGGGACGAAGTGCAGACGCGCGTCGTCGCGCGCGTATGCCGAAAACCTCAAAACCCATCGGTTTCGGAAGGATTTCAAAATCGTGTGCCCAAAAAACCAACAAAATCACAAGTTTTCGCAACACAGATTCTCAACCAAAGCGTGCGCGCGCGCTCTTGCGTCGTCGTCGTCGTTGTCGTCGCCGTCCTCCCTCCTCCCGCGTCGTTGTCGTCGTCGTCGCCTACGTCGTCCTCTGTCTTTCCTGGTGTTCGTCGTCGTCGTCCTCTTTGGCGTTGTGGTTGTTTCCGTCGTCGTTGTCGCCGTGGTCGTCCTTCCTCCTCCTCCCTCGTCGTCGTCGTCGTCCGTCGTCGGCGTCTCGTCGTCGTCCCTCCTATTTCGTCGCCGTCGTCGTCGTCGTCGTTGTCGTCGTCGTCGTCTGCCCTCCTCCCTCGTCGTTGCCGTCGTCGGCGTCGCCGTCCTTCCTCCTTCTTCGTCGTTCGCGTCGTCGCCGTCCTCCCTCCTCCCTCGTCGTTGTCGTCGTTGTCGCCGTCGTCGTCCTCCCTCCGTCCTCGTTGTCGTCGTTGGCGATGTCGTCGTCGTCTTCGTCGTCGTCGTCGGCGTCGGCGTCGTTGACGTCTTCGTCGTCGTCGACGTCGGCGTCGTCGTCGTCGCCGCCGTCGTCGTCGTCGTCGTCGTCGGTGTCGTTGACGTCGTCGTCGTCGTCGTCGGTGTCGTCGTTATCGTCGTCGTCGGCGTCGTCATCGTCGTCGTCGTTGTCATCGTCGTCGTCGTCGGCGTCGTTGTCGTCGTCGTCGTCGGTGTCGTCGTCGTCGTTGTCGTTGTCGGCGTCGTCGAAGTCGTTGGAGACGTCGTCGGTGTCGTCGTAGTCGTTGTCGGCGGCGTCGTCATCGTCGTTGTCACTGTCGTCGTCGCCGTCGTTGTTGCTGCCAAGTGCCATGTGGTACCCACCGTCACGGTCTTAAGAGATTTTGCAAACCATGTTGCGGGTGGGTGGGTGGGACGTTTGCGCGAGCAGTGGAGTGGACAACTCACTGCGAACAGAAATTAATTGCACCACATAGGTTGCACCACATAGTATGCTAGAATGCACTGTTCGGGGTCACGCTTACTAAAATTATTGTAGGGACCTGCGAAGACGGAATTTGAAGGGAGGGTTTAGTGCGACATCGTTGATACATCTTAGATTTACACTGGTCCTCTTCTTCCTCCTTTTCCTCCTCCTGCTCCTCCTCCTCCTGGTCCTCCTTTCCTCCTGCTCCTCCTCCTCCTCATCATCATCATCATCTCAGCATCATCCGATTATCATCATCATCATCATCAGCAGCATCATTATCATCATCGTCACCATCATCATGGTCATCATCGTCATCATCCTCATCATCATCATCATCATCATCATCTTCATCATCATCATCATCATCATCATCATCATCATCTTCATCATCATCATCATCATCATCATCATCATCATCATCATCATCATCATCATCATCATCATAATCATCATCATCGCGAAAGCGTGATCATCCGCCTCTGTACTGTGGAAAATTCCCTCCCTATGCCTCCGCCGGAACCCAAGGGTCCCCCCCCCTTCAAAAATTCCCCCCTCCGGAAAACCAGGGGGGGTCACCCGGTTCGAACCCCCCCCCTCGAAAACCAGGGAGGGTCACTACCGGTTCGAACCCCCCCCTCCAGAAACCCGACCGGGGGGGGTCACTACCAGCTCGAACACCCCCCCCCAGAAAACGGGGGGGGCCACTACAAGTTCGAACCCCCCCCCCTCCCCCTCCAGAAACCCAGAGGGGTCACTCTACCGGTTCGAACAAACCCCTCCCTCCCCCCACTCACCGCCGGCAACCGACTCCCGGGTCCCCACCACCGTCCGCACCACATCCCCCACTGCTGTCCCCAGCACCACTGTCCCCGCCACCGCTGTCCCCACTGTTCCCACCACCCCACTGGCCCCACCAGTGCCCCCACCACTGTCGCACTGTCCCCACTGTCACCACCACTGTTCCCACCACGGTCCCTCTCTCCACACTTTCCCCACGGTCCCCACCACTGTCCCACCGTCCCCACTGTCCCCTCTGTTCCACTGTCCCACTGTCCCCGCCGCTGTCCCACTGAGCTGTCCCACTGTTCCCACCACTGTCCCCACTGTCCCCACCACTGTCCCCACTGTACCTCTGTCCCATTGTCCCACCACCGTCATCGCCAACGCCCTTACCACTGTCCCCACCACCACTGTCCCCACCACTGTCCCACTGTCCGCACTGTCCCCACCACTGTCCCGCTGTCCCCACACCACTGTCCCCACCACCACCGTCCCCACCACTGTCCCACAATCCCCACCACTGTCCCACTGTCCTGGCTGTTCCCACCGTTGCCCCCGCTGTCCCCACCAGTGCCCCCACCAGCGTCTCACTGTCCCCACTTTCCCCACCGTTGTCCCACCACGGTCCCACTCCCCCCATTGTCCCCACTGTCCCCACCACTGTCCCACTGTTCCCACCACTTTCCACCACTGTCTCCACTGTCCCCACCAGTCTCCCCACAATACTACTGTCCCACCACCATCCTCACCACCGCCTTTACCACTGTCCCCTCCACTACCGTCCCCACCACTGTCCCACTGTCTCCACCACTGTCCCGCTGCCCCCTCACCACTGTCCCCACCACCACCGTCCTCACAACTGTCCCACTGTCCGCACCACTGTCCCACTGTCCCCACACCACTGTCCCCACCACCACCGTCCCCACCACTGTCCCAGTATTCCCACCACTGTCCAGCCGTCCCGAGGAGCGGGGATCGTTTGCCGGCGGCGAGGGGGGGGGGGGGTCGAACCGGTAGTGACCCCCCCTTTTTCATGATGGACTGGAAGGGGGGGGGGTCGAACCGGTAGTGACCCTCCCCCCAGTTTTCGAGGGGGGGGGACGGGTTGGGAGCCCCCAGCGGCCCCCCCGTTTTTCCGCCAGCAGCGGTAGAGCACGCTCTTCTCATCATCGGCAGCAGCAGCAGCAGCATCATCATCATCATCATCATCATCATCATCATCATCATCATCATCATCTCATCATCATCATCATCATCATCATCATCATCATCATCATCATCATCATCATCATCATCATCATCATCATCATCATCATCATCATCATCATCATCATCATCATCATCATCATCATCATCATCATCATCATCATCATCATCATCATCATCATCATCATCATCATCATCATCATCATCATCATCATCATCATCATCATCATCATCATCATCATCATCATCATCATCATTATCATCATCATCATAATCATCATCATCATCATCTTCTTCTTCATCAGCATCATCAACATCATCATCAGCATCATCATGACCATCACCACCACCACCACCACCACCACCACCATCATCACCACACCACCACCACCATCATCATCATCACCACCACCAGAACCACCACCACCACCATCACCACCACCAAAAACACCACCACCACCATCACCACCATCATCATTATCAGCAGCATCAGCAGCATCAGCAGCAGTATTATCATTATCGTCATCATCATCCCGCTCACACCGCGCTGCTTGCCGCGCGGAAGGTGCCGAGGGTGGAGGTCGAGGGCCTCACGCTCTTTGTCTCCCTCGTGCTTCACCCCTGCCACCCCTCCCACCCCCCCGCCACCACCCCACCACCCCCGAAAACACACGCGCTGGCACGGCTTGGGGCTGCGCGCGGACAGTTCCCCCAGATGACCCAGTGCGGTCTCGACACCCCCACAATCAGGCGCGCGGACCGCCCCAAGGGGGCCGCCGGAGGCGGCGGCGCGGCGGCGCGACCGCCCTGGACCACCCTGGGGGCGTGATGAAGCCAGCCTGGACTACCTCTGCGGGGCTGTCCGTGCGAACCCCCAGGCTAAGGCGAAGCCAGGACGAGGATAAAATCGGGCGAGGATGAATCCAGAATCTCTGAGATCCTGCCGCTCTGGAGGATGTCTCGAGCGCCGCGGCCCTCCGAGAGCGTTCCGGAACGCTCTAAGAGAGTGCCGGAAAGCTCTGGAACGGATGCATCCTCGTTCCAGCCCTGGCCGACAACCCGAGGCCTTGCCACCCCCCGCCATCGCCCTCCAGCCGCCGACAGCCTCCGGCCCGAGCTGACCGTTCCGCGCAGCCGCGGAGTCCCGCACGCGGCGCGGGGCTGACCTCGGCGCGCGCGGGAAACCGTCGCGACGCCAGCGGCGACGACGACGGCGGCGACGACGACGACGAAGACCAAGACGACGACGACGACGACGACGACGACGACGACGACGACGACGACGACGACGACGGCCGACGGCGGCCGACGGCGGCGACGGCCGACAGCGGCGGCGGCGACGACGGCGGCGACGAACATAACAACGACGACCACGATCACGACCACGGAAGCGACGGCTGCGAAGGCGGCGGCGGAAGCGGAAGCGGAAGCGGCGGCGAAGGCGGGAGAAAGGGGAGATTTCGGGAGAGGGGGAGCGGAAGCGGGGGGGGGGGGCAGCGTTACACACGTAAGGCAAAGCGGGGGAAGAAGGGGAGGAGGACGAGGAGGACGAGGAGGAGGGCGAGGACACGACGAGGAGGAGGACGCAAAGGAAGAGAATGGAGACGGGGAGGGATAGATGGACGGGGAAAAGCCGAACCCGCCCCGCCCATCTCGTCCCCAAACTCTCGCGTCATCCTCGCCTTCGGTGGAAGCGTCCGCCCTGCGGCCTCTTCCGCGCAGACACAGCGAAGTCAGCCTCGCGCGGCCGGGGGCGCAGCACCACCGCAACGCCGCTCCCCCACGCGGGGCCCTCTCGCGGCCGCCTGTCGGAAGGCCGGGCCGCCTTGGCGCAGCGGCCCGCATGCGAGGCACCGACATGCGTCCAGAAGGACGGCCCCTCGAGAGCTCGGCGGTTGTCCCGGAGCCTGGGATGCACTTTGGACCCCTGTGTGAGTCATGAGCGAGGGAGCTCGCGGAGGAGGAGGAGGAGGAGGAGGAGGAGGAGGAGGAGGAGGAGGAGGAGGAGCGACGACGACGACGACGACGACGACGACGACGGCGACGACGACGGACGACGACGGACGACGGACGACGGACAACGGACGAATGACAACGGTCGACGGTCGACGGAGAACGAACGGCGAACGATGGACGACAACGACAACGATAACGACGACGACGACGACGACGACGACGACGACGACGACGACGACGACGACAACGACGACCACCACAACGACGGCGACGACGACGACCACAACGACGAAAAGCAAAGGAGGACGACGACGACGACGACGACGACGACGACGAAGAGCACGGGGGGTGGGCTAGCAGGAGGAGCCCCCCACGAAAAGCGTCAGCGCAGCCACACGCGCGCGGCGCTACGCGCACTTCCCGCGCAGAGCAGCTCTTGGCGCGCACCCCAGCCGCAGCGTGCGGAGAAGACGAGGGCCTAATGCCTGCCGCACCCCCGCGCTCCGTGGACGCGAGAGAACGCGCGCTCCACATCGAGCCGAGGTCTTGAGCACCTCGACAATATTTGTCAGCGGAGACTTGGGCCTGAGACGCGGCTGGGACAGCCGAGTGGCACATCCATAGAAGTTCAACGTGGGCTCTGAGCGCGTACCAGCGTCTCCTTGGACCATGAGTAGTGCCAGAACGGAGCAAGAATGAACTGATGATGGAATGAGCACAGACTGAGAGCGTGGAAAGAACAGCATCCGAAAACAACAAGACAGGAGCAATACTGGCGCCAGCATGGACGAGAATGGAGCAAAACTGGTACCTCATCGGAGCCGAACTGGGCATTACAATACTACATGCCAAAGGAAATTAGAATAGTAAAGCGGGGAGCAGGAGGCCGTGGGCTGCGGTCGAGCACCTCGGCACCTAGCCCCGAGGGGGGGACGCCGGCCCGTCCGCGCGGCGTGCCCGCGTGCACGCCCTCGTCAGCCTGCTCGTCCACGCCCTGCGGGGAGGGGCCGGACCGCCGCCGCAGCAGCCAGTGCCTGCGACAGCGGCAGGTCGCGGCCCACGAGCCCTGCACGCGAGCAGATGCGCAGCGAGCCCCGCGCACCAGCGCGGAGATTTTGCTCTGACTGTTTGGTTGAGGGGGGAGGAAGGGAGCACGGCCACAAGAACCCCTACGACGCGGCAGCCACCACAGTGCGAGACAATTCAGAGGCAGCGTGAAGAACAGAAGCGAATTAAGAACTGCACAGTGGTCGCCACACAAGCGCACGCCGCAACGCGTGCATCGACCCTGCACGGCAGAGCCCCCCAGGTCGAGGAAAATGCTGCGTGGGACGGAATGCCGCGAGGACTAAAGTACATGACCTAGGCCGAGGCAGAGGAGGAGGAAAGGAGGGGGGAGGGGGAGGAGGGGGACGGCATGAGGCAAGCTGTGGTCAGATACATAGGGGGCGGAGGCGGCGAGGAGGGGGAGGGCGGAGAGGACAGAGACGCTGAGCTGACAACCCCAATGGTCTCATCAGCCAAAAACATCAGCTGCAGTGGCAGCACGGAGAAAGAGGCAGGACGAGGGAGGTGGAAAAGGAAGGAGGCGGAGGCTCGAGCACCAGCGCGGAGGAGGAGCCTGCTCACATTCTGCCTGGAGTGACGATGTCACACGGAATGGCGGGTCAGCACGAAGCCAATCGAAGCTGAGGCTTGCATGGCGCACGCGCGAGGTGACCACTGATCAGACAAGGAGGGCAAGGAGAGGGTTGGACGAGGGACAGAAACAGAGGGCAGGAAGGAGGGATGCAGAGCACCTGGACAAGAAAGGGGAGAAGCAGGACAAGGAGATGCACGAGGATTGTCGATGTGGACTTTCCTAGCAATGCTCTTCTCGCTGCGAACTGCCTGATTGATGGATTCGTACGGCTTGGGGTTGACTATAGCGCCTTGCTACTCGATTCAAGATCTTCGTGGGGCGCTTGTCCAAGTCAGTCATGCATACCTATCGGGGTGCAGGACACGCCATGACTCGTGATCGCGTGATCCCGAGGGCTATATTGTTAAGTAGCTTTGTCCTGCGAAGTACATCCACTGTCTGGCTGGTCGGCGATCGAAAACTATGAAAGCGTGCCCTGTAGATTTCACTGGCAGTCCGTCCCACGACTGCAGCACGACTGCCAGTGTGTGGCACCAGAAGCCCGAGGACTTTGCAGCGGCACTTCGCAGACCAGAGATTGCCACCAATATGGCAGAAACCAATATCGGGGTACGACACTCCAGCACGTTCCATGACCTCCCAGCTGTCGTCATACATCCACATCCCATTGCATCTACCACATGGTTTCTATGGTTTCCAGATGGGGTAAAGGGGAGGAGGAGGAGGAGGAGCAGGAGGAGTGGGAAGGGGAGAGGGAGGGGGAGGGGGTCCAAAGCGGGGAAGACATCGATAGCGCATCAGAAACATGGGCACAGCCACCTGAGGGGCGACGAACTCCCATGCCCCTCCTGCGCCGGAGAGTACGAGAGCCTCCGCACCACCAGGAGAGCACATGAACTGGCTCTTGCGACCCTTAGTAATCCACCCGTGGCAAAACTGCAGCAAACACTCAGCAGCAATTGCCGGAGATCCCCATCAGATCGATCAGCGTGCAACTGTCACAGAGCTGTCGCAACGGTGGGCACATCTCACATCAGCTAACCTTGACTGAGGCGCCGGCATGGCATTCGCCTCCGCCTCCGCCTCCGAAAGAGCTGGAGCAGAAAGAGACAGGGGCGGAAATTGGAGCACGACGATGCGAAGGCAGAAGAAATGAAAGGAAGGAGAACGAGACCAGCGCCTGGACCCCAAACAGCAACAACGCTGGTAGCGACATGGGTGTGATGCGCTTGCGCCAAAGGGCCTGGGACAGCGGGGGGGCGGGGCCGGACCAAGGACACTGGCGGCGGAGGGCGGGCAGCGGGGCCGAGGACAGTCAGGACAGGGCAGAACACCAAAGAGGTCAGCGGCGGCGGGGAGCGAGCAGCTGCGGGCCAGAGTGGTGGTCGGGGACGGGGCCGAACCAGGTGGGTTGACGGCGGCGGAGGGCAAGCATCAGTGGGCGAGGACAGTCGGGGCCACCTCCAACGAAGGTATTTGGCGGCGGCGGACGGCATGGACCAGGGTCGGGTGCGGTCGGAGACAGGGCCGAGCCATGACGACGACTGGCGGCATGAGGCAATGACTTCCAATATGAACAATCTAGATACCTTTCAGCGCAAGCACTGCTTGGAGGATCGGGTCAAAGACTGCAGGCCACGTGCAGCACAGAGAATATCGTTGAGAACCCCACTTCATGGATTCGCACCGTCTGCATTACTTTTCCTGGGGGAGCCTCGCGCGAACCACACGTGCGGCCACAAGCAGCACAGCACGACAACGGCTTTCTCTTGGGTGACCTGCATGTGAGCGGCTGAGTGCCCAAATATAAAAGACCCAGAATGCTCAAAGGATCCTGCAGGCTCTTGTTTGAGAGCATGCTTTCACAGCTTAGCCTGACCATGCCCCTCTTGAGTCCACGTTCAATATCTAAGACACGACTCGGGTCATTATTTGAAGGCGCTCTCATGGCGAATACGGGCGGGGTGTATCGCGCACTGCACATCATGCGCGTCACGATTGTTGTGCTGAACGGTCCGTGCACTGAATGCTACACTCCGTGCGGGGCCAAGCTGTGCTGCTGCTTTTCTAATTCTCTACAACTACGTGTATACATATATATATATATATATACATGCGTAGAGGTAGGTGTACCTACCTTCCTACCTACCCACATGCATACATACATGCATAAATGCATATATATATATACATAAATGCATGTATGAACGCATACATGTACGAATGCGTACAAACATGCACACGTAAGTACATGCGCGCGTGTATACGTTCATGCATGTTTGCATACGTTCATGCATGAAGTCATTCATGCATGATTTCATACATACGTGCATACATTCATGAATGGATACAAACATGCATGATTGCATACATGCATACATACATACGTAAGCACATACACACATGCAAACGCCCATACATACATACAAACATGCATGGGCACATGCATTCATACATACGCATACATACGCATACACTCGCATAGATACACGCATGCAGGCATGCATGCATACGTACATACTTACATGCGTACATACATACATACCTACGTACATGTGTACATACACGCGTGCATGCATGCATGCATACACACATGTGTGCCTGCATACATAAGTGCATTGCACATTCTTACACGCATACCTACATGCATACAAAAATACACGTATGCGTACCTACATTACACAAATAGATCTACATGTGTGGAATACATCCATGCATGTATGCAATGTATACACATGCAGGCATACACACACACATGCATACGTGATTGCATACATGTATGTTTCGTGAATGCAGACATACATGCATGCACGCACACATGCATGCATGTATACACTCATACATGTATACATGGATGCACACACGTGTACATAAATGCATGCATACCTGCATACATACCTACACACGTACGTGCGTTTGTGCGTACGTACATACATACGTGTATACATCTATATATATGTAGAGAGAGATATACAAGTATACATACATGTTCGTATACAGTTGCCGGTGTGCATATATATATATATATATATATATATGTGCATACAGATACACATGTATGTGCGTGCGTGCGTGCACAGGCACACACACACACAAGGCTTGAGGAGCGCGCCCCGCGCGACGAAAGAACTTGGCCCGCTGACGTGAATACCTGCACCGATCCATGGTTCCTCTGGAAGCTTTTGGGCGTTGATCCCCAAATGTGTGGAACCCCTGCCGCAAACGCCTACGTAGGCGCGTAGAACAGCCAGGGGACCCCGCATGCTACACGGAAACTCGAGCAGCCAGTTTTCGTACTCTGGTGCCCGGCCCAAGGCTTGGCTTGGACGCGGACACTCGAGGCCCTGTGGGCCTGGCCAGAAACCGCCGAAGCAATTCTGGAGATCGCCGAAGGGCATTCGACTCCCGCGCAGAGTGGCCAAGGCTGGCTCAAACAGCTAGCAATCACATTGAGACCTCCGAGTGACAGTGGAAACGTGTCCCTGACACTCCACGAACCCTCCTAGAAGCCCAGAGCACTGTCAGACGCTTCCAAGTCCCCCTCAGATGTCCGAAGACGTCGCCCAGAAGTCATGGCGCCAGTCTGGAATCCTAGGCCTCTGCCTTCAGAGGCTTTGGGGTAAGCCAGGTAGGCCCAAGTGGGCCTGGGTCTGCCTGGTGTGCGCTTGTAAGGGCCTAAGGTAGACTTTGGGTCGGCCTAGGGAAGCTTGGGGTAGACGTCGGGTGCGTAAGCCTTGGAAGGCCCACAGTAGACCCAGAGAAAACCGAGAGAGACGTGAGTAGGCCTACGGCCTACGGCTGGTCTGGGGTAATCCTGGGGGAGACGAAAGCAGGCCCGGGGTAGACCTACGGCAGGCCTACCCTATGGTGGACCTACAAAAGGCCTAGTTCGAGCTTCTATACGACAGAGGCGTGCCCCAGACACTAGAAGGACCTCCCCCGAAGCCCAGAGCGCTGTCACCTCCGTGCTTGCCGCCCTTGGGGGGCCCACGGCACAGCCAGGCTATGTCATCTGCACGGCGTGCCGCTACAGGTGGAACTTCCGCAAGCACCCGAACTTCTGGCAATGCGAGCACTCCCTGGAGCTGCCGCCTGCTAGCCCGTCGCCCCGTGGAGGAGTCTGGGCGGACGGCTCGGCCTCGCCCAAGAGCGCTGGCCGAGCCGTCAACCGCGGGCGCGGCAGGCAGCTGTCAGCGGGGGCGGACCCGCGGACAGAAGAGAATCACTGAAGACTGCCGCGGACGAGCGGTATCTACGCGTTCCACATGGGAACAATACATTTGAGCCAAAATGGCTACAGACGGTGAGGGCACTGAATAAGGAACCCTTAGATAAGAAACCCAGCGCCTGGAAGCTGGTGGAGCACCAGTTGAGGCTTTGCCACGGATATCACCGCCGCCCTCACCAGAGAAGGAACCCTCCAGGGTCTGGAACCTCCTGGGCACATTCCTTAACGAACGCCCCCAGCGTATTCTCATTCGTTCAGGCCAAGCGCAGCCAGAGCCCCAGGGGCCCAGCGGGGCCCAACGCAGTGGGGCCGGGGTCGGGTCACAGAGGGAAGAATCAGTTGTTTCAGTTGGCGCCCGCGGCGGGATTCAGCAACCTTGGTTCCTCGAGCCAGGACACTTTCTCACTCTAATCCGGATTGGAAAAATGCTACACGTGTGGGTCACGCGTCCCCGCCTCCTCCCCTCACATCCCCCTTCTCCCGCTGCCCCCCCCCTCCCCACCCCTCCCCTTTCCACTCTCCCTCCCCGTCCCCATCCCCTCACACCCAACGCCTCCCACCCCTCGCGCCCTGGCTCTTATTCCTGCAACTGCTCCTGATTAACCAGTGTCCCCTCCTCTCGAACGGCCGCTGATCAGGGCCAGCCACTGCTTGCCGTCCCCCGCCCCATCTCCGTTCAATTACCCTGGCGACGTACTCAACCCCTGCGCAATGCGGGGCATGAGTAGCTTGGGAGACGTTATACGGAGGTGATGACGTGACATGGGCGCATATACTGCTGCGAGCTGCATTCGTGAGGCTCGCAGCCCCCCAAGGAATGCGATGTCCCGCTCAGATCTGCCTGGTGCCTCGCTCCGCTGAACCCGCCACCAGTTGCGACGGTTTCGCAGATCGCAGCCCCCAAGGACGGCGAGGCCCCGCTCAGATCTGCGCGGTGCCTCTCTCCGCTGGGCCCACCAGCAGCCCTCGAAAGTGGCGACAGCTTCGCAGATCGCAGCCCCCCAGGCACGGCGAGGTCCCGCTCAGATCTGCGCGGTGCCTCACTCCGCAGGACCCACCAGCAGCCCTCGAAAGTGGCGACAGCTTTGCAGATCGCAGCCCCTCAGGGACGGCAAGGTCCCGCTCAGATCTGCGCGGTGCCTCACTCCGCTGGACCCACCAGCAGCCCTCGAAAGTGGCGACAACTTCGCAGATCACAGCCCCCCAGGGACGGCGAGGTCCCGCTCAGATCTGCGCAGTGCCTCACTCCGCTGGACCCGCCAGCAGCCTTCGAAAGTGGCGACAGTTCGGCAGATCGCTAATGCTGGCCCCCCCAATCAGCCCTCGAAGGTTGCGACGGTTTCGCAGATCGCAGCCCCCCAGGCACGGCGGGGTTCCGCTCAGATCTGCGCGGTGCCTCACTCCGCTGGGCCCACCAGCAGCCCTCGAAAGTGGCGACAGCTTCGCAGATCGCAGCCCCCCAGGCACGGCGAGGTCCCGCTCAGATCTGCGCGGTGCCTCACTCCGCTGGACCCACCAGCAGCCCTCGAAAGTGGCGACAACTTCGCAGATCGCAGCCCCCCAAGGACGGCGAGGTCCCGCTCAGATCTGCGCGGTGCCTCACTCCGCTGGGCCCACCAGCAGCCCTCGAAAGTGGCGACAGCTTCGCAGATCGCAGCCCCCCAAGCACGGCGAGGCCCCGCTCAAATCTGCGCGGTGCCTCACTCCGCTGGACCCGCCAGCAGCCTTCGACGAAAGTGGCGACAGTTCCGCAGATCGCTATGCTGGCCCCCCAAGCAGCCCTCGAAAGTGGCGACAACTTCGCAGATCGCAGCCCCCAGGGACGGCGAGGTCCCGCTCAGATCTGCGCGGTGCCTCACTCCGCTGGGCCCACCAGCAGCCCTCGAAAGTGGCGACAGCTTCGCAGATCGCAGCCCCCCAAGCACGGCGAAGCCCCGCTCAGATCTGCGCGGTGCTTCACTCCGCTGGACCCACCAGCAGCCCTCGAAAGTGGCGACAGCTTCGCAGATCGCAGCCCCCCAAGGGCGGCGAGGTCCCGCTCAGATCGACGCGGCACCTCACCCCGCAGGACCCACCAGCAGCCCTCGAAAGTGGCGACAACTTCGCAGATCGCAGCCCCCCAGGGACGGCGAGGTCCCGCTCAGATCTGCGCGGTGCTTCACCCCGCTGGACCCATCAGCAGCCCTCGAAAGTGGCGGCAACTTCGCAGATCGCAGCCCCCCAAGAACGGCGAGGCACCGCTCAGATCTACGCGGTGTCTCACTCCGCTGGACCCACCAGCAGCCCTCGAAAGTGGCGACCGTTTCGCAGATCGCAGCCCCCCCAGGGACGGCGAGGTCCCGCTCAGATCTGCGCGGTGCCTCTCTCCGCTGATCAGCAGCCCTCGAAAGTGGCGACAGCTTCGCAGATCGAAGCCCCCCAGGGACGGCGAGGTCCCGCTCAGATCTGCGCGGTGCCTCACCCCGCTGGACCCACCAGCAGCCCTCGAAAGTGGCGACGGTTTCGCAGATCGCAGCCCCCAGGGACGGCAAGGCCCCGCTCAGATCTGCGCGGTGCCTCGCCCCGCTGGACCCACCAGCAGGCCTCGAAAGTGGCGGCAGCTTCGCAGATCGCAGCCCCTCAGGGACGGCGAGGTCCCGCTCAGATCTGCGCGGTGCCTCTCCGCAAGACCCACCAGCAGCCCTCGAAAGTAGCGACAATTTCGCAGATCGCAGCCCCCCAGGGACGGCGAGGTCCCGCTCAGATGCGCTGCGCGGTGCTTCACTCCGCTGGACCCATCAGCAGCCCTCGAAAGTGGCGGCAATTTCGCAGATCGCAGCCCCCCAAGGACGGCGAGGTCCCGCTCAGATCTGCGCGGTGTCTCACTCCGCTGGACCCACCAGCAGGCCTCGAAAGTGGTGACAGCTTCGCAGACCACAGCCCCCAGGGACGGCAAGGTCCTGCTCAGATCTGCGCGGTGCCTCACTCCGCTGGACCCACCAGCAGCCCTCGAAAGTGGCGACAACTTCGCAGATCGCAGCCCCCCAAGGACGGCGAGGTCCCGCTCAGATCTGCGCGGTGCCTCACTCCGCTGGACCCACCAGCAGCCCTCGAAAGTGGCGGCAGCTTCGCAGATCGCAGCCCCCCAGGGACGGCGAGGCCCCGCTCAGATCTGCGCGGTGCTTCACTCCGCTGGACCCACCAGCAGCCCTCGAAAGTGGCGACGCTTTCGCAGATCGCAGCCCACCAGGGTCGGCGAGGTCCCGCTCAGATCTGCGCGGCGCCTCACTCCGCTGAACCCACCAGCAGCCCTCGAAAGTGGCGACAGTTTCGCAGATCGCAGCCCCCATCGTCGGCGAAGAGAGGGCAGGAGGAGGAAGCAAGGAAGGACGCGCGAGCAGTGCTCTGTTCAAAACGCATACCCAAACAAGGAGGGTTGGGAAAAAAATGTAGGCTGCGGCAAACGCTGGACCCTTTGTGAGCACCTCATCATATGTAAGCAGTCTGTTTTGTTATGGACGGCGGGGAACGTGATTTCCTGATGTGAGCTGGGCCACCACCCCTGTCAAAACCATTGAGAAGTGATTGTAAGTGCACACTTGCCGCGTCTGCGGGCCGATGACTCGACCAGCCGGCCGAAATTGACATCCCCTGGTGCAGCTTGCAGGCGAGAGGTGACGGGAGATCCACGAGTTGAACGATCACCGTGAGGCGGCGGGAAAAAGGGTACAAGCTCAACTGGTCGCAAGGCACGGCGGCACGAGCCGAAATGCAAGCTTATCTCGGGAGCGCGCAGCCACTGGTCAACGTGGGGCGTTCTACCGGGTCTGCGGGTGCACAATCATTTCACTCTGTTGAGCAGCCCGCCGTTACTCCGCTTTGCTTGTGACAGGGATGGCGAGGATACGAGCACGTAGCGCACTTGGCGCATGCGGCGCAACTAGCGCACTTGGCGCACCTGGCGCGCCTGGTGCGCGTAGCACGATCCGCACAAGTGGCACATCTGGCGCATCAGGTGCGTCTAACGCGCTTGGGCACCTGTGGCACCAGGCTTACCAGGTGCGCGTTGCACGCCAGGCAGGC